TTTTTTAGGTGTAGCTGTTTGCATTATTAGTTTTGACATGGTATAACAATAGATACTGTGTGCAGTTTCTGTTAAATACACCAGTCAAACAGAAATGGTGGTCCATGTTGTTTGTAAGTGAATATAACTAAATATGAGGTGTAAGGAATGGAAGATTTGTTGGAAAATGACCTTATTTTTCATGGACACACACACACACACAGCACAAGTTCTTGACTTGAAAGATTGTTAACAGCTGCTTTGGAGGACCCACATTGTTTTAAGTAAATGTAGATAACTTAGAATTAAAAACATCAAAAATAATAATTTCATTACTTTAAAAAAAATGTTATTTACCGGGCAGTGGTGACACACGCCTTTCATCCCAGCACTCGGGAGGCAGAGCCAGGCGGATCTCTGTGAGTTCGAGGCCAGCCTGGTCTACAGAGCGAGATCCAGGACAGGCACCAAAACGACACAGAGAAACCCTGTCTCAAAAAAAAAAAAAAAAAAAAAAAATCTGCCTACCAACTGAAGGTAATATAAAATGCACCCCCATGTGGCTTTTATATTTTTACAGTGGTAGGGTTTTTTTTGGTTTTTTTCTAGGGCCTCAGGTATGCTTGCAAGCCACCTGCCCCCAGCTGCTCCCTTGCCGCTCCGTGTTCTTCTCCTCTTTCGTTTTCTTTATGGTCGGGGCGCTTATTTCAGGTGGGCAGGTTCTCGAGAGCAACCACGGCCTCACCTAATGGAACGTTTTTGTTTTTGTTTCCCCCCAATCTAGTGCTGTTGTCCATATGCTCACTGCTCTGCGATCCTAATCCAGATGACCCCTTAGTACCCGATATTGCACAGATCTATAAATCAGACAAAGAAAAGTAAGTGTTTCCTGTTATACACTTCCTCTGGGGTGCATTTGCTGCCTGTGTGTGATATTGGAAGTACATTTAACTCGGTGTAAGTTTTGTTTTGTTTTTTTTTTTCTCCAGTAGACCTTTTTTTTTTTTTTTTTTTTTTAATTGTCTTTAAAACCAAAACCAAAACCTCTTTCCGGGTCAGTGTTCAGTAGTACACGTTCTCTGTCTGTGCTACACCCTCACCATTTCTAGCTGGCAAATTAAACATGGAAGGATTTAACCACTGGGAAGCACCGGGCATTCTTTCCTCATCTTCTCCTAGGAAGAGAAGTTCTTTCTCTTGCCCACCCACACTGACCTTCTCTTGCGGCTGCCTCAGCCTCCTGGTGCCTGATAACCCTTCCTCAGGGTTGGCTTCTACAGATTTCTATTTGAAGTTGGTTTTTTTTGTGTCCTGGTTTTTTTGTTTTTTTGTTTTGTTTTCGTTTTTTTTTTTTTTTTTAGTTGAGATATATTTTCATACAGATTGCTGAGGAATCTAGGAATTTAAAAGTCATTTTTTTTTTTTTTTTTTTTTGCTTTTATGTTGGCATGCATCTATGTTACCTCAGCCCAGTGACAGGTGTAAGCATGATGGTCCTCATGAGGTTTCTGAATAGAGAGAGGCTCCGGCAGGCTAAACGTGTGTGTTTTTACTCTCTCTCTTTTTATATGCCTACAGATACAACAGGCACGCAAGAGAATGGACTCAGAAATATGCAATGTAATGTTTGAAAACACTTTCACTTATACCAGAGTACTGTAAAATCTATGTCTTTTTCAACATTAGCAGTGATTCCAGCGCTGTTCGCTGTCTCCTTTGTTCCATGAATCCTTTGGTTTTTTTACTCATTTTAAATGTGTTTCTGAAGCAAGACAGAACAAACTTCCAAAAATACCCTTCAAACGATGCTGAGAGCATTTAGCATTTTGTGCTCGTCAAGGAGGACATTTATTTTGGTTCCTGAGACACTTGGACACCTGCATCTTCAAAGCAAGATCCGAGAGACACGCCTGAGAAGCAACCAGATGATTTCTTTTTTTTTTTTTTTTTTTTTGCTGAAAGGAGATGTTTTTACACAACGAGAAACACTGTATGTATTGTCCAAGATGTCGTCACTTTTATAAATCTGAATTCAGATTCCATTCTTTGTTAGCTCACTTTATAATTTGTATTTTTTTACTGTATAGACTAAATATATTCTATGTCAACTCATGACCTTTTCTTCCCCCCTGTGAACAGTATTGAAGCCCCCAACAGGTGATGATGAATAACTGTGCCCCCCCTCCCCCCGTCTTAGGATATTCTGTGAGTTGAATGCATATTTCTTAAACCGGAACTGATCTCCGCACGGTCTTTCTCAGTGTACCGATTAGAATGGAGAGACCCTTGTTTGGTTTTATTGTACTTGACTTAACTTGATTGCAATGTGAATTAATTGCACTGCTAAGTAGGAAGGTGTGCCACTTTTTTTGTTGTTGTTGCTCTTCACATTTGAATTTTTTTTTTTTTCTGTATAGGCAATATTCTATTGACACCTTTTCCAGACCTTACTGTAGCTTTTTCCATATAAATAAAATGCTTTTTCTACTGTTTGTCTTGATCACTTACTGCAAAAACCAAAACTGCTTGATCTATCCCTCAGGATCAAAACTCTGTAATTTTGCATGACAACTATTTCCAATGTGGAAAATATGATCTTTTTTTTTTTTTTTTTTTTTGCATTCAAAAGAAATTTGTTTTCACTTATTTATTTGGGGGTGAGTTCCATGGTGCACATGAAGGTCAGAGGATGACTTGTTGGAGTCAGTTCTCTCCCTCCACCCTCTGGTTCTATGAAATCCAACTCAGGTCACTTTGGTCTTGGTAGCAAGCACCTTTAACCCTTGACCACCCACCTCCTGTCTTGGCATTTCTCCTAACCACTAATTGCATATAAACTTGACTGCAGTAGGTTAACTACTGCACCTCTTTACCAGATTGTCTGCTGTGAGCTGGTTTACTTTGGTCCCTTGTTGTTGACGAGAATTTAGAAGCTGGGGCTTATCTACATCCAAGATGAAGTACTTACTTACAAATGTCCCAAAAGGAGTGTGGGTATGTATTCCCGACTCTAAGGAACAGTCTTGATAGCTCTGAGGAGCCGCCAGGTTGACTCCTGAGAATGACTGTATCACTGCATGACATCACTCCATGTTTGAAAGTCTAGAATCTCTAAAATAGAATTTTAATGCCATCCCAATTTTAGCAGCATTTATCTGTCTTTACTATATGTTATTAACCATTAAAAAAGGGCACTTCTGTTTTTCTAAATTGCCAGCTAAAAATTAATTTAAGTAAGCAATTTACCTTTCTAGATTTTTAAAGAAAACAAAGTTCTAATGTTTGAGGTTGAACATACGTCTCGTTAATGGTTCATAGGCACATCACACTTGAGTGTGTCATCATTAACAGTGGCAGTGGTCTTGATTAGCACAGTAGCTGTGTAAATGAGTAAGAATTACTTGGTAGCAAAAGATTCAGCTCCATTGATTATTTTATCCTGATTTGTGATTATTGAAGCACAGGCTAGCAGCCTCTTAGGAAATATATCATTATGAATGACTGTAAAATAATCAAATGAATTGTGAAATGGATGTGTAAGAAAATACAGGCTTTGGGAAATAGAGATATGAATGTCTTGAAGTAGCCATCTCATGAACCAAACACGTTACTATCCATTCTATGTAAACTAAATGTCTCCTGAGGTTGGGTGCTCTCATATTTAGATAATATTTAGTGTACTTTGAAAGTAAGAGATATTTGTTTCTTGAGTATCTAAAGTATCACTTTAAAAAATTCCTTTGTGCTGACTATGGTGGTACATACCTTTAATCTCTGCATTCAGAAGGCAGAGACAGGAGGATCTCTGTGAGCATGCGGCCAACCTGGTCTACCTAGCAAGTTCTAGGCCAACAAGGGCTATAGTGTGAGAGATCATGTCTCAAAAACAAATAAAAAAAATTTTTTCCCATTTGTATGGCATTTATTTTTGGAGGTGTCTTTTGTTTTCTTTTTCAAATTTTCTGTGTGTGTGTGTGTGTGTGTGTGTGTGTGTGTGTGTGTGTGTGTGTGTGTGTGTGTTCGCGCGCGCGCGCGTGCGCGCTGGTGCCCAAGGAAGCCAGAAGTGGCCATCAGATCCCCTGGAACTGGAATTTTACCAGCTGTGAGCTGCCCAAAGTGCATGCTGGCACCTGAGCTCTGGTCCTCTGCTAGAGCGGCTAGTGTCTTCACCACCGAGCATCTCTCCAGCCCTTCTTTGTTTTTCTAATTAAAGCCTGAAACCTGCTTTAACTCTTGTATCTCTTTGCTTATTTACATCTGGACTCCTCAGGGGTAAACAGTTTTGTTGTTGTTGTTGTTTTGTTTTGTTTTTACTAACAAAACCAGTCCTACTCCCCAGAGAAGTATGGACCAGGTGGCCATATCGATCTGTCGTTCTTGCTTAATACTAACACGAAACATGAGTTCGGTTTTAAAACTGCCTTTTCGGGGGTCAGGGCAATAGCCAGTGGATATAGATGCTTGCTACCAAACCTGGTAGAAACGAAGAGCCAACTTCCACAAGTTGTCCTCTGGACTCTACTGTAGCATGCCCCCCCCCCCCAACCCCAAAATAAGTAAATGTAAAAAAATCCAACTTGGCTTTTCATAAATTAAACATGAAGGACTTCAGACTTGCAAAGATGGAGTCTTAGGGGGCTAGGGTCTCCCTTTTTGAAGTCCTGGGTGCTTCCTGTAGTTGAGAACCTGTAAATTGGATTGTAGGTATTTGTAAATGCCACATACAGGAAGCTCTTGAGGTGTGGCATTTACGAATACCTACAGTTCCTGTCCCCGGCTGTCTCAGCAGCCTGTGGTTCCTGAAGACCATCCTCACACACACACTTGCTTGGGGAAGCCGTGTGTAATTGCTGGTGTGCTTCGTGTCCTCTTGGCAACCCTACCACTAGGGTGATAGCAAAAGCCAAAACATGTTTATCAGCCTCAAAAGACCAAGAGTGACTTGATCACCAACAGAACATGAGAGCCTGCTTTGTAGCAGAGGATGGCCTCGAACCTCTGATCCTCTGGCCTCCACCTACCTCCTAAGTACTAGGATCACAGGTTTCCATGTTGCTGGGGGGTAGAACTCTTGGCTTTGTGTATGCAGGCAAGCACTCTACCACCTGAGCCACACCCCCAGCCTTTACTTTTGTTTTGTCACAATACAGGATGGAATTCAGGACTTCAACATTGCGGGCAAAGGTTTTCATGTGGGTCTATACGTCCACCTCTAGTTCTGGTTGGTCTGCTTGTTTGTTTTTTTTTTTGGGGGGGGGGTTGGTTTTTGTTTCTGTTTTAGATGGAAAGATTGGAAAACCAAATTTCCTTACCAGATGAAAAGAGACTTTGACTTTGAAATGCTTCCTAGGTCTGTTGACTGAGAGTCAATTTGGATGGGGCTCGATTTCTAGTCCAGTTGATGATGTTTGAAAATTTGATCTGTTGTAGAGTCACGAAGTCCTGTTACACATTCATTTTAGAAGCAGCCATGGCATTGAGCCTAGGGCCTCTTGCATACTTGGCAAGTACCCCGTGGCTGAGCACCATTGGGCCTCCCATAATCCCTTTCTCCTTCTTCAGCTGCATTTTACAAATGAAGGGAGTGGATAGAAACCCATGAGCTTTCATTTGTTAAACTGCTATGTGTGGATAACTACTCAGTTTGCTGCGTACCTTCTGTAAGGCCTTGTCTTTTTCTTAAAAATTCCATTTATTTATTTGTGTGTGCATGTGTCTGTCCACACGAATGTGCGTACAGATCAAAGAACAGCTTGAAGTTGGCTCCCTCACCTGCCGTGTTGGTCCCAGGGATTGAACTCAGGTCGTTAGGCTTGCTGGCAAGCCCCTTCACCCCCTCAGCCATCTCACCCTCCCTGTGAGCTCTGCTTAAGCAGATGCTTGTTAATCAGTCCTCTTGAATTTCAGTAATCATGATAACCGAGAACCTGGATTGAACTGATGTTTGGGTTGTAAAAATAATTTGTAACGCAATAATACTTTCTTCTAAAGATTTGTTTTTATTGCCTCTGAAGTGTACATGTGTAGCTGTGTGTATGTGTGTGCAGGTGCCCAAAGAGGCCAGAAGGGAGTGCCATGTCAGATCCCCTGGAGCTGGAGTTACAGGTAATTAATTGTGAGCCGCCCTACATGGGTGCTGGGACCTGAACTCTGGAAGAGCAGCAAGCACTCTTAATTGCTGAGCCATCTCTCTAGCCTCATCCAATAATATCCCGATGACAATTTAATGCCTGTTATATCATTTGTTAATAGTTTGTTACATTTAAATTTGTTTCCCTGATCCTTTTATATAAGAACGTGTGCCAGGCGGTGGTGGCGCACGCCTTTAATCCCAGCACTCGGGAGGCAGAGCCAGGCGGATCGCTCTGAGTTCGAGGCCAGCCTGGGCTACCAAGTGAGCTCCAGGAAAGGCGCAAAACTACGCAGAGAAACCCTGTCTCGAAAAAACCAAAATAAATAAATAAATAAATAAATAAATAAATAAATAAATAAATAAATAAATAAAGAACGTGCATTTAGATTGTGAGCTGAATTGACCTAACAGGAAGGTAAAAAAACAAACAAACAAACAAAAAAAAAAAAACACCTCAAAGTATTAGTATTGGATGTTCTCTACAATAAAATTTATGTTAAAACTTACTTCAGTTTTAAACTCTTGGATCCTCCTGTTGTGAAATGTGCATGAGCCTTTCTCAAGCTGTTTTGAATACAGTGGGCCCTGAGTTCTGAAGTGCAGTACACTTTCCCATACAGTTTACTTATTAGGAAAGGCAATCTGGTGTCTCAAGCTAGGGGTGCTGCTGCATGGTGGAGAGTCTGTTTAGCTTGTGAAGGAACCTAGCTTTAATTCCCAATCTCCCTCCCCCCAAAGCTAAGCACTCTAACTTCATAGGCCACTGAGGTATGCACGAAATATTTTAATAGAAACGGATGCCCCTGTGCGATAGTTATGACACCAAGGAAAACGTTGATAGGGTTTGGCATCTCTTACCCCCAAAGCTTGGATTTCTCACCAGGACCATGCACAGATCCATAGCTAGGCAGTTGTGGGAAAAAACAGATGGGAAGCATGTGGCTGTGTAGGCTGTCAGTGTTTGCCTTGAAAGGGCCACACAGCCGAGCTTCCAGCAGTGACTGGGTGCAGAACCTTTGCCTGGAAAGGCAGTTTGGAATTCAAACCCATGGTTCCTTCTTTTTGGTATTATTATTGTTGAATATAGATTTTTTAAAATATAATATATTCTGATTGTGTTTTCCCCTTCTCCCAACTCCTTCCAGATCCTCTCCACCTACTCAAATCCACACCCTTCCTTCCTTTCTCTCATTGGGATACACACAGCAGCTAACAAGTAATAACAAAATAAAATAAAAACAAACCAGAATAGGACAAAAGAAAAAAAAAGCCAGAAGAAAAAAAAAAGCCAAAGAAAAAGCATAAGAAACGCATATGCAGAGACACCACATTTGCACACACAGAAAACTCAAAAACACAAAAACAGAAACCCTAATAAGGACCTGTAAGGTAGTTAAAAAAAAAAAAAAGGCCCTGAAAAAGCATTATGAGACAAAGAGTCTCTAAAAATGCTATTGAGTTCACTTTGTGTTGCCCATCGACGGCTGCACAGGGAGCCTGCCCCTTAAGAGTGGTTTGAATACTCTCGGTGGGACTCCATTTAGGAAAGCTCATTGTTCATTTGAGAGCAGTTATCAATTAGAGGGAGTGTCTGTGGTAGGGGTGGGAGCTTGTGCCGACTTCCCCTCTCCCTGGGACCCCATCTGGTGCAGACCCATGCATGCAGTGCCTGTGCATGCTGCCACAGTCTGTGTGAGTTCATAGATGCATCAGCCCTGCTGTGTCTAGAAGCCCTGGTTCCCTTGGTGTCTTCCACCCCCTTGGGCTCTTACACTCTTTCTGCCCGCTCATCTGCAGGGTTCTCTGAGCCTTGAGGGGAGGGAATTGAAGAATCCCAGTTAGGACTGAGTGTTCCAAGGTCTCTCTCACTCTGCACACTGTCCAGCTGTGAGTCTCTGTCTTAGTTCCTGTCTACTGCAGGAAGAAACTTCTGTGTTGATGGCTGAGCAAGACACTGATATATGAATATAGCAGAATGTCGTTTTATTGTTCCAATCCTTTAGCAGAAAAGCAGTATTTAGTTTTCCTCTGGGTCCCTGTCCTATCTATTTGGTCTCTGGTTCTTGGCCACCCGAGCAGTGTTGGGAATAGGTTCCATCACGTGGAGAAGACCTTGACTTCAATCAGATATTGGTTGGTTGCTCCACAAGCTTTGTGCTACTACTGTCCCAGTGCATACTGAAGGCAGGTCACCATTGTTGATAGAAGACGTTGTAGCTGGGTTAGTGTTGACCTTTCTCCTTTAGTAGTGTGCAGAGGACCTTCCAGTACCATGAACACTAGTCACTAAGGGTAAAGGCTCTAGGTAAGCACCAGCTTGACTTCTCCATGTTTAATGAGTTGTGTAGGTGTTATCTGCAATAGGGCTTTGTTTTCACTCTGTGAGGAGCAACCAATAGCCTTGGCAGTAGCCTGGATGTTTGGGTTTTCCCATGGGGCCCCTTTAGCCAACAACTCAGTTAGATGTCTAAGGCCATGGTTCCCAAGAAGGAAGCAGGTGTTCGCCGGAAACCACATTTATTTCATTCACTTAAAAACTCTGGGTGGATTAGCGTAGCAGGCACAAGCTTCTCCATTTGGGAAAGTTATCTTGCAAGCAAGGCTTCCAAATGGCAGACCTGTACAACTCGTTTAAGACTTCTTTCCCAGGCTGGAGAGATGGCCCAGTGGTTAAGAGCACCAGCTGCTCTTCCAGGAGACCTGGGTTCAATTCCTAGTACCCACATGGCAGCTCACAACTGTCTGTGATCTGGAACCCTTGCAGAGACATACAGGCAGGCAAAAAAAAAAAAAAAAAAAAAAAAAAAGTCAATGCACATAAAAATAAATACATTTAAAAAAATAAACCCTTAAAAAAAAAAAAGACTTCTTTCCCCTTAAATTCCTTGGCACCCTGTTGAAAACTCACCAAGGCTTACTTCTGGATTCTCTCTATCCTGTAGCTTTGGGGTCACTTTTAAAATGAAGTATTGGCCTTCCAACTTCATTCTTCCGTGACTTGCCAGCTCCGCTCTAATTCCCCGTGCACTTTGGAATCCGTTTTTATTTTCTTTGTGTGTGCACCCAGGTAGATGAAGATGTGCGCGTGTTTGCATGTGGAGGCCGGTGGTCAATCTCGGATTTATTTCTTCAACTCTCTATCTTACTTATTTGTTGTGTGGGTGTGTGGCGTGTTGTAGAATGTCCCGTAACCAATTATATGTAACGTTTTAAAAACTTGGAGAAGCTGGATCCGCCAGATGTGAAACCTTCGTTCAGTAGCTTCCCTGAAGTCAGTATGTGTGTGATCTGCAAGCGGTGTGATGAAAACAACCATTTCGGGACATTTACGCGGAGCATGCAGTTCGAATGGGCTACAGCTGTTCAACCTCGAATTCAGCCACAGCTTTTGCGCATGCAGCTGACCAATGAATTCCGGGTCGCCTGTCTGCCTTGGGTGGAGTGCGAGCTAGCACAATCTCAGCTCTGCCTCCCAGCCCCCTTCCTGTGTGATGGCAACAGCTTCCTTTCTGGTCTCTTCTGCTTCCGCCTCTCCTGTCTCTCGAAATGCACCTATCAAAGGTTCGCCTAAAATCTGGCTTGGTTGTGGCAGTAATTTGTGGCAAACGTTCCGCCCTCTGGCACGAGGCTCGGTTCATCCCAAGCTAAGGGTGCCCGACCTCTTCCCAGTTGCTTCAGTCTCGCCCTGGCGTGTCTGTTCTCTTCGGCACGCCATGCCCTCACCCACCCCCGTGACTTGCAGCTTCCCTTTTCTGGGGACCACCCCACGCTTTCTGCACTTGACAAAAACAGTTCCAATGTCACCTCCTTTCCCAAGCCGTCCCCTGCTCTCCCAGGCAAACAGACGCAGATGGGCCAGGCCTTAGTCAGCTTGGTATTTTTAGAACTTATCACAGTATGTAGCATAGGACAGGCCTGTCTGAGAAACTGAAAACCTTGCTAATTATTA